GTGACGCCCCAATAATATCATATAAGGCCACGCGTCCTGCCCCATATGTCCTATACTGATGTCTTGATTTTGGGGATTCATAAAGAAAATTCAATAATTTTTTAAGAGCTTCAGCAGCAGAATTAAGGGACCTGCCTAAGCCAAGGAATGGGGAAAAAAATAAAGAGTGCTGTTACTGCCGTGACACCCGATGGTCGTACTGGCACTGAAATAAGGAAGAAAAACGTATCACCGCAGCAAGGTGACCAATGATTGCTACGGGAGGGGGTAAAATAATTCAAGCTGTTCATAATGTAGTGTTATACAAAAGCATTGATAGCCAATTTAAATTAGTGGTAATATTGTTATGCTTTGTGAATACATGTAGAATTGCATTAGTCTATCGTTTTGAATTCCAGAGTCCAACAGGATGACATCAACATAATTATAAAGTGTAATTTAGGGTTTTCAAACTCAAAATTGCTTCAGAGTAATGAAATATCTAACCCATTAGTGAAAAACTTAGGCTTGAATAACAGCAGACTAATTGCACATGACTCCTACGAGAGGTCTGCACCGCTCGTAAACAGTGTTCGTTCCTAAGAGAAAATTCCAAACACAAAAAAATGCGATGAATTCGACAAGTTCTAAATAAATCAATTATACAAGCCCCTTAAGAAGGAATCGTGGTGATTCAAGTGCGTGAGGCCCAACGTAGGTATACATGACACAAACAGCGTGCAATTGTGTAGAAACAAGAGTATGTCTGAGCAACTTTTTCTACTAACATAAGAGACAAACAAAATGCAACCTTCTAAATGAAAGAAATGGCAGTCATTGCTGTATAACACAGCTTTTACCTGTCTGTAAAAATGGACTCTATTATTTTTATCAGACTGTGACAAAAAGGTCACAATAAGACCAAAGGGAGACTCGAGAGTCGTATATGTTCCAAGCAATTTCCCCCAAATGAGAAACTTGACAATTTAAGGAATGAACAGAAAAGTAGATAGGGTAGATTAGTTTGTGTGTGTGCGTGTGTGTGTTATTGTCTCTGTGCATTTACTGGAAAATCAGTCATAGATTAGTGGCAGTAGTACTTCCATTTTGACTGGAAGAGGTGTGTGTCTGTGTGTGTACGAGAAAGAGCGAGAGGAATAGACCAACAGAGAAGGAGGGCGAGACAGAAAGAGAACTGCTTACATACTCTTATTGTAAGTCACTGTTGGCATTGAATTTGTACAGAAGAGCAAAAAGCTCCAGTTTTTTCACTGTGTCAACTCTTTACAACCCTGTGTGTGGTGTGTGTGTGTGTGTGTGTGTGTGTGCGTGTGTGTGTGTGTGTGTTGGTGCGCAACACTGTGCGTGTGTTCCTGTGATGGGTGGTCTCGCTCTAGTTGCTTCACTTTAAGTCGCACACACTTTACAAGGCACACACACACATACACACACACACACACACATGCATGCGTGGATAAGCTTCATTGAAGAGAAAGGTTGTTTCCTAGACTTCACTTCTCTCTGCAACATGCACACACAAACAAATTTGACGGTGCATACTGGATGCATATGTGCACACGCACACACATTTGTTCTCTCTATTCATGCACTTACTCATGCACACACACACACACACACACACACACACACACACACACACACATGTATGCAGGAGTATGTGTATGCAGGAACCTACATGAACTCTGGTTCATTCATACATAGAGATGCTTGACACACAAGACCTAAGCATGCACACTCCTCCTCGCAGCTTATCTCAGTGCAGTGTGGAGCAGCTTTTGAAGGCAGTAGGGAGCCGGTTGTTGACGAGTCACTTAATAATTCCCTTGGACAGGCATGAAATTCTCTCCTTTTCTCCCTCTGTCTCTCTTTCTGTCTCCTTTGCTCTCGCTCTAATATTCTTCTTCCTGCTGTGTTTTATCTGGGTTTTGTTTTCACTTTCTCAATTTTTCAAATTTTCTCCACTCCTTTTGTCTCCGTCTGCCTCTTCTGCGTTCTCTCTTTATTCTGCTTCTCTGTGAATCCTCTTTGTATTTGCTACTAAATGCAAGTCGTTAGTAACATGAAGGTTATTAAGGTACTTGCAATGATAGTCTGCTTGTCGTGTGAAAAACTAGCTAATAAGGCAGGTTTTCTGTACATTCATTCAACCTGCATTAAATCTATTTATATGAGATGACTGTGACAGATTAAACCCTTTGGCTGTTTTCTCTCTCTCTCTCCTCAGGGAGTCAGTTCAATTATGATTAAATAAGAATATAATTCAATTACATTTCCATCCTCATTAGAGATGCTTGTTCTCCAACACTAACGTCTGTCGTGTTCAACGCCGGTCGGACAGAGGGTCACGGGCGCGAGTTGACCCATGCAAATAGACTACCAATTAATTTTCCCTGTGTCAGTGTATCCTTCTGAATGGAGTATCGTGACCCATAGTGGCACAGCAACATTCATCGGCACGTACTTAAATATGTGGTTCTAGAAGCGTGGTGATGTAAGGACTGCTTACAGGTCTAGTTGGTGAACTACTGTTGCTGGTGCTAACACGCTAGCCATAAATGAATATGCTATATTCGGCTGCAGTCGGCCACAAAAGATCAGTGTTATCGTTAAGAATTCCCACCGCACTCATCAGTGTTAAGGGTCCCCTTGTAACTTGTGTTAAAATGAACTTTTGTTGTTCTCCCTTGTGGTGCATAGATATTTCATTTGCTTGCACACACTTGATTCAGATAAAGAAAATCTCCACCGACACACAAAATTAAACAATTTAAAGACCACTTTGTAGCCAGTTTAAATTCACTTAAAGCCTATATTTCAAGGAAGAAAATCCGATCTAAAGGATTTGGAGGCGGCAATAAAATACAGAGATATCCAGTTAGTCTAATTTTTTAACTTATTTAATATAAAAATGTCCTGCTTGTTATCATTTATTTTGGCCTGTGGTGCAGATAGCAGATGTAAACATGATTTTATCGGTTGCCCCGGTACACACACACACACACACATACATTTCAACATAGTACACCTATAGACTACATGCTAACACAAACACATTCCCTCGTCCTCTTTGATTTTTTTTTATCCCTCCATCTGCTATCCTCCCCTCGAGGGAAAAGAATCTTCCCGTTAATTTGTCTGTTTTTGTTCCCACACGTTGACTTTCTTTGTGCTCTTCATCTTCCTCCCATGCGCTCCCTCTTTCGTCTTTGCATGCTTTTAATCCTGTTTGTCCCCTCTTGTCCTCCTGCCCACCTGCCTCTCACCTTCAACCTGCACACTCTCTTCTGTTCGTGTTATGTATCTACAGTATCTATTTCAGATTTCAGGCAAGAAGTTCACGTTTAAGAAGGAGAGAGAAAAAGAACTGAGAGAATAACAGAATAAGTGTCTTTGTGTATGTGTGAGAGAGGGAGAGAGATCTCATTAAGTAAAGGTCACACCACGTTCTGTAGTAGAGAATAATAGGGCATTAGCAAACTTCTCACTGGTCACATGCACTTAAACTCTTTGTTGTGTGTGTGTGTGTGTGTCAGAGGTCGTATCTTGTTATGTGTATTTGTGTATCTCTACCCTGATATGTTATTTATACTTGTTTGTGTGTGTATGTGTTTTCTCTTAGTTTTGTTGTTTTTTGTGCATCTTTATGTAGGTTTCTATATACAGCACATGTAACTGTGTCTGTGAATGTCGACATTTTTGATGGTTGTGGCTCTGTTTTCCAACCCAGTCTCCTACAAAATGACGTTCCCATACAATGATTCTGCATTCTCAATTAAGTTTCATGGGAACTTATAAGGGATTTATTTGTCATTGTTGTACTGATACTTTTACTTAAGTAAAGGATCTGAATACTGCCAGTTGAGAAGTGCAACAAAAGTATAGGCTATTTGCAAAAAGCCTCAGTGCCACAATGCACTTTATCACCCCCAAACCTATAACTCTACATGCTTTCACCAAACATTAAGATTAACCAAAACCCAATGCTGACCTTAACTCCCAAACTAAATCTGAAACAAAAGAAGACTAAAGAACTGAGGAACAGCCAAAATAGTCTAACTTCCCAAAAATGTGTTCAATTTGAAGATGTAAAATGTGTCCTCACAAAGACAGAGACATAAGAACACACACATTCTCGTACACCCAAGGTGCAGAACATTTTGGATTGAAACCATTTAAATGTTGATTGTGTCTGGAGACACACAGTGAACTGTGGACAATGCGGCACATTCATTCTGTATTTCTTCTTCTTCATCTTCTCTGCTGGCTTCCTGTATGCTCAGCTGAATTCCACAAGAGTCGAACAACAGGAACACACAAACACATATTCCATCCAGAAGCAGTGGGCCCAGCGAAACAACCTGTAATCAGGCCTGTGTGTGTGTTGGCGGTGATAAATGCCACCTTGGAAACTCAATGCCGAATAATCAAGATTGACGCTGGCAGACTGTGTGTGTGTGTGTGTGTGTGTGTGTGCTGGTTTGTTTGTGCTATTTTTGTTGGAAGGATCTAATCAAATGTAATCTTGCTGATTACATTAATCGTGAGATTTATAATCACCTCTTTTTATCTCTCTCCTTCCTTTAAAACTCTCCCCGGTCTCTGTTACTTGTTTACTCCTGTCTCTCTGTCTGCATCGTTCACCATCTCCGGTCATGTCTTCCTTCTCATGCACGTTGGGTGGATACATGCTAAACTGCATGTTGTCTAAAAAGAAACAACAAGATGTCAAGTTTGTCTTCGACATTAAGTGTGAATTGGAAAGCTGTTGAAAAAAAATGTGTTAGAAATAGAATGAGAAAACAAAATCATTTGACAAATTACAATAATTCAAGATACTTTCAAGATTAAATGAAATAAATTAAAACAATATAGAGAAATACCCTTTGCTTCTTTCAATCCTTCATAGAGCAACCAGCAGCTGCTTTTAAAACATGTTGAGTTACTTCTCATTCAGGACTGTAGCATAAAGCAACTTTTCTTTTCTCTCTTTCTCCCCGTAGGACACAGAGGTGGTGAACACAGCCATTCTTACAGGTCGTCGTGTCGCTGTGCCCATCAAACTGGTTACGGTGGAAACCAACGGGCAGGTGAGGGAAGTGGACGACTCGGTCACCTGCACCTCGACAGACGTGGACGTGGTCAAGGTACGTGTTCAAAGTATACACAGAGAGTATAAGTAGGAATTTTAAATGTACACATTTCTAACCCACTCACACAACTGCAAGGGATCTCATTCATTCATGCATATATTCAGACACACACAGTTACTTCTATATTAGGTTGTATGTTATAAAACCGGACACACCACACATGCACAAACTAAGACAATCCATGTTCTGAGGACACATCGTTAATAACTGTACTGGGTTGTTTTTTTAACTAGCTACATTACACAGGTCAATTTGAGATGATTGATATTGGTCTGCATTGCAGTAAAGTAAACTAGTTGATACTTTGCTTTGTGATTGAACATGTGCCAGAGTGAAAGATTGCTCAGGCAATTCACAGAATGTCTTAAGTCGCGGTCTGCCAGGCAAGTTAAATATGGATTCGGAAATCATTTCTCAAGAGTTTGAGAAATACAACCGTTTAAACAACAGGGAGGAAATCACAGAAATGTGAGGAAGTAAACGTGGGGTTATTTTACACAGCGAGTGATCCATCTTAAATCATCATTATATTCTAAAATCTTGAAGGATTTTTGTTGTTCTCTAATTCACTTGGTGCAACAGAGCATAATGAGACACTTATCACAGTATGCAGGCTTTTTTCAATCTCACTTTGTGTTTCCTGAAAGTCATATGAAAGTCTCAGAATTGCTGATGTGTGGGCAACTTTTCATTTAATGACCATAAAAAGCAACATGGAGGGAACAAAGGTTATTTTTATTCGGTTCAGTGTGTTGGTAAAGTAAAGCAGAATTATCAAATACCAGGAAAACAGATGTGGCCGTTAAAGAAACTCCATAGAGAGTCAGTAAACTGTACTTTATTTGTTAAAGGACCAGTGGCGTAGGTGCCAAATCTGAATTCGCAAGTCAGGTTTCTGCGTGGTAAAGTTACATCCACTGTACTTTACTGCTGCTGTGAGGATTTGCCGTGTTTTGAGTGCTTTTCTCCTTATTTTTTTTGACTATTGACATTTTGGGTGAACACCAATTTTGAGACTTTATCCACAGTTTGGTCATGGTCCCTGATCCCAGGGTAGTGCCCCGTTATTGTTATGTATATACTATATACGTTAATACTCCTATTGATATTCATAATTGTACTAATTTCAATAACTTAATTTTCATACTTGCTAATAACCAAACCCGCTCCTGCCAGATCCCAACATCTGTAGTAGGTTGCATCAAAAGATATGTATGACATTCAGCTGATTAAAAGTGCCCTGTGGCTGTTTTTGTGTAAACAAAGTTTCTGTTTACATTCAGTGTTACTGACCAAAACACATCGTGTATATCCTGAGGCCACACAAATATTTTGAATGCATTGCCTTCCACATTTCTTTGAAAAAATATGCATCCATTTTCACTTGGTAGCTCTTCTCTTCCCTTCCTTTGCATTGCTGTGTTTCATGACAAGCTATACCTGTATGTGGCATGCGTGCACATCCTCATGTGTATGCATGAGAACAAACAAAAATACACACTCCTAGAAATATTGCTCCAAAAGTGTTATAATGGTCAAAGACTCCTGAGGCTCCTGTTGACTTTCTGAAAGTGGAAGGTACATATTCCATCCCTAATTCCAGCTCAATCTGCTGGTTACTTTAATACAATGTTGTCCAACCAGAAACAGGCAGTTGTGAAATAACCACATAGCCTTCTGTGCTCTTCTGTATATCAACATTGTTAAAACTTTATTTAGTTTATTTGGTAAAAAGAATATGTTTTCATTGATAACATTTTCTTTAATGAAATCAAGGTTAAATGTGCTGTGTGCATGAAAACCATGTCATCTCTATCCTGCTTTTCTTTTTGTTCGCTTAATCCCCTCCACAAGGAGGTCAGAGGTCAGCGTCAGCTAGAGCAGCCGTCATGGATCTGGCAGTGATCCAGTGTCTCTTTGAAGGGCGGGACAGGGTTTGAGTTTGAACCTGGTGAAAGGACAAACTTTAGTGCCAAGCCACTCTGCCACATAAACTCAACAGAAATACTGTACTAATTAACAAAGCAGAAATACCTTCAAAAGATATACCTTTACATAAACAAGCTGATACTATGGATTGAAGATTGATTCTTCTTGTGCTACTTCTCCTCTGTGCCCTGAGGGCCTAAAGTGAAACGCACTCTTGCTGTGACAGCTTCAATATGAGGCCAATTTCTTGGTACAAGCCGACAGGAGTGGTGCTGTTTAAGTACGATCAATAACAACACAGCGAAAATGGAGGGAACTCATTCAGATGGATGTAATGTTAGCTCTCTGCGTATGTACGTGTGTGTGTGTGTGTGTGTGTGTGTGTGTGTGTGTGTGTGTGTGTGTGTGTGTGTGTGTGTGTGTGTGTGTGTGTGTGTGTGTGTGTGTGTGTGTGTGTGTGTGTGTGTGTGTGTGTGTGTGTGTGTGTGTGTGTGTGTGTGGTAGGGTTTGGGAAAGAGTTGCTGGCTTGTGTGTGAATATTTGTGTGTGGGGGGGAGATCTTTATAGACAAACATACAAACACCTGAACAAGCACACACACCACATGTTTAATAGTTGTCTATATCCACGTTACATGTAGATCATTTACATCAACCGTAGCCAATCTTTTTTTTTTGTTTCATAATTGTTTTTAATTTAAAACAATGAGCAGCCTAAAGCTGCATTTGGAGAAACCACAAAGCAAAGTGTTGCCTCAATAAATCCACCTGCATTTGACAGCTGGAATATTTCTGACTCTGTTTTTGTGTTACAGAGTCAGACTGATATCAATACTTACCAGGATCTCCAGCTGTTTATGTTACTTTACTTCAGACTCTCTCCCTGTGCACTTCACAAAGTAAACCCACACATGTTCAGCTCATGCGTCTTTGCCTCATTTCTCACCTCCTTGATCAAAACCTTGCCTTTCCATCCATTTTGTATACAGTTTAGGCAGCTTTCTATGTATTTAACCAGTACTTCTTCATTTCCCCTGCAAACCAGGGAATTCATGTGCAAGGGTAGAAGCATACATTATAACAATTCCTAGGAAACTGCTGTATACCCTGAAGTGTCAGCATCCACCCTGCTTTATACCATCAAAGCTTGGACCCCAGAATTACATATCCCAAATCTAATTACTTATTTTATTATTGATATATACGTGCTGGAGCATTTCCTTCGCTTGCATGCAGCTCTCAACATGGCAGCGGCTGAGCCATAGGAGACGCTGTAAAGCAACATTAAGCCATTCTATGTGCTGATTGTGTTTGTTTGTGTGGAAATAAGAGGGTGTGCATGATGATTGAGTGTTCGCATACAGATCCGATGCACACACAAACACACACACACACACACACACACACACACACACACACACACACACACACTGTGACAAACTCAGAGAAGCTTCAACACAGCCAGCTTTTAACAAAGGGACCCATGGGGTACAGGTAGCTGTAGCTGTCAGTGAGTCACTATGACGGCTTTACAAACCCCCCCCCTCCACACACGTACACACAGACACACACACACACACACACACACACCACCATCTTTAGCCTAATCCTGAGTGGGCAGCACAGAGCAGGTGAATTTTAACACCTTTCATGACGATAATTATCATTTAAAAAATGCACAACAAAATTTATCAGACTGCTTCAGAACACTGGACACAGATTAGGAGTTAATTGCATTGAGTAAATTCTAAACGGTTTTTTTAACAACCGTCACAACCACTGTCAAGGGGCTGATCGCTGGAGCGTTCCAGGGCACTCCGTATTTGACTCCTCCTCATTACTTTTTGTCGCAGAGTTCAGGGTTTTATTAGCAAAGTTATAAAACGTAAAACGCCCACCTGCTCACTCAATTCGGATTGTTACACATATGTACTGTATAGATAGGTGGAACAAGCTTTTCTTTTATGGCCACATTTCTTTTTTTAATTTGAAATCGGTCAGAGCAAGAAAGATTAGGCCTACATCAACTGTGAATACACGTTTATTTTAGCAATAGGACTACAGTAAGTACCTGTAGGTATCTTACAGGCTTGCAGGCGATACTCACAGGATGGATGAGGAAAATCCCATACTTTACTTTAAGACCAGACTGCGAGTGTGTTTAGTTTTATTACACAGGATGGCCAGCCCCGACAGTCTCCTTTTTCATGGTGCTTTTCCGATATGTTTTAATTAGACTAGTTTCAGTTTTGAGAAGGATTTTCAGCGCTTAATGTGATGGAGAGACACTGAAGCTTGAGAGGGCTGTGGGGCGCACACCTGGTGCCTCTCTCTCTCACCTGACGATGAAGCTGCAATGCGCACTCTGGCGAGAAAAGCCTTCCGTGCCATTCTTTGCTCTTCTTTCAGAGAAGACGTACTCTCCACCTCTGATATAACTGATGCTTTGCAGCATATGTAATCTCTTCTGGAGCTGCCATTTTATTTGGAAAAAATAGTTGCTTCTCTGTCTTGTCTCGCAAACAGCTACGCCACGTAGCAGTCAGTAGCTCCTCACAGACCGCTGATTGTGCCGTGCTCTATCTAACCAGAGGCACTACATGAAGCCTGACTGGATGGATTTTTGTCTGCTTTATGGTTCTGTGATTCTCGCATGATCTCATGCCATCGCCAGAATCCACCTGCCGTGCAAGGTAACTTATCTGCAGACCTCTGTCTGGTTTCAATATTAGTTCATCTCAACTTTACTATAACACACGTAATAGTTGATCAAAAGTGTTTTACAGCACAAAGAGAAAAGCAGAACAAAAGAAAATAGAATAAAAAATGTAAAGCACAAGGTATAATACACAGAGAAACAACTAGACCATCTAACAATCTGTCCACAGACAGCAAGAAATATACACACCTGGTAAAGTACTCATAACCGCACCATGATTACTTACACGCAGACTCAAAAGGTGAAAACAATGCCAGCGTTCTTGTCACAGCTGGAAACAAACACCACCAAGTCCTCCAACTCAGATAAAATATCTGTCCATTAAACACAGCAGTCCTTGAAATGCA